CAGAAAAGGAACCGAGTATACACAGATGACAGTCCCTAATTTTGTTTTCTTCTGTCTTATATCAATGGCTTTTTGATATAACACAGAAATTCTTGATTTTATTTAAACAATATGCTTGAATTTAGAGTAGGAGAGCCAATACAACTCCAAATCCAGCTTTAATTAAATGAATGTGGACTAAAGCATATTAAGAAACAAACAGAAATGGGTATCATAAAAAACAATATAGAGAGATTTAGACTTTGATACCACACAGTGAGTTATCGTTTGTTTGCTGGTCGTTAGAGTAGCTATCCATTCTTCTTCAGGTATCCATACGTCCAGTATTTTTTTTTTTTTGCTGAGTTTTCCTGTGAAGACAAAAAACAAAACACTTCTCTTTTCTTTTATGAGGTCACTTTACCCATGGTAGAATATGACCTTGTAGATGAGCTGTAATCTTTCCTCCTCCTGAGATGTCTTCTGTTCAGAATTAATTTCGATGGAATCCAAAGCTTTTCTTCTCCTGTGGAAACAAAGGCAAAACCCCTTCCCCAATGTAACACATATCCTGGTTTCTAGACTGAGGTTATAACATCCTTGAAATACACTGGTTGGTTCAGTTCAGACATCTTCTCTGTAGTCCAGTGTCTTTCTGCAGTAGTTTGTCCTTTTTCATTAGCATTAAGAAAGTTCAACGTTAGTAAAGCATTATGTAACCTGTGTTTGGGAGTCTTTGTTCCCCCTGGCTGTTTATGAAGCATTTCTTTTAAGGTTCAGTTGGCTCTTTCAACAATTGCTTGTCCTGTGGGATTATAAGGTATACCAGTTACATGTTTTATATCATAATATTTGAAAAACTGTTCCAATTCACTGGAGACATATGCTGGAACATTGCCAGTTTTTATTTGTGCAGGTATACCCATAACAGCCATCACATCTAAGAGGTATGTGATAACAGAATCAGCCTTTTCAGAACTGAGGGCAGTAGCCCATTGGAAGCCTGAGAAAATGTCTACGGTATGGTGAACATATTTCAAAGTGGCAAATTCTGGAAAGTGAAAAACATCCATCTGCCAAATTTCATTCCTACAAATACCTTTGGGATTACTACCTGCTGTTAATGGAGTTTGATTGTAGAATGAGCAAGTGGGGCAGTTTTTTACTATTTCCTTGGCTTGTTGCCAGGTGATAGAAAAATCCTTCTTTAAACCTTTGCTGTTAATGTGGTGTTTCTTATGAAATTCTGGAGCTTCCAACATACTTCCTATTAATAAATGATTAATCTCATCATTGCCTTGTGCCAGAAGACCTGGCAGACCCGTATGGGATCTGATGTGTGTTATATATATAGGATGAGTTCTGTTTCTGATGGTTTCCTGTAATTGTAAAAACAATGAGGTTAATTCTGTGCCATCATGAACAAATTCTGTAGTCGCAATGTGCAAGACAACTTGCTCTGCATACTGAGAATCCGTGACTATATTGAGAGGCTCTATAAAGTTTAAGTACCATGAGAATGGTGTACAACTCTGCCTTTTATAAGAGCTTTGAACTACTTTACTTACATTTCCTGATTTGTGCCCTGCCTTACCTGATTTGTTTGCATCTGTGTAGAAGGTAAGAACTCCAGAAATAGGTGATTTTATCATGATATGTGGAAGAATCCAAATTGTTTTCTTTATGAATTTGATTCTCTCTGAATTGGGATAGTTGTTACTAAATGTTCACAAAAAGTTACTGTATGCCATTTGCCAATATTCGTCATCCTTCCATAAGGAGGAAATAATTCCATAAGGTACAATAATTTCTGCTGGGTCTTTTCCAGTCAGTTGACGAAGCCTTAACTTACCTTTTAATATCAAATCAGAGATCTTTTATTTATATGTTTTCAGTTTTTTATTTTGTTTATGTGGCAGAAATACCCATTCTAGGATGATGTTTTCCCTCTGCATTAAAATTCTTGAGGGGTATTCTCTAGATGGTAAAATAACCAGAATGCAGTCCAGTTTTGGTTCCACACGGTCCACATGTGCTTCTAATATTCTCTTTTCTACCTATTCTAATTACTTTTCAGCCTCAGCTGATAGTACTCATGGACTATTTACACCTTTGTCTCCTTTGAAGGCCATATTTTGGTTGTTTTAAATCATGCCCTTCTACTCCAATAATTGTCTGTATTTGAGAGATTTCTCCTAATAGTTTGTGAAGATCATCAAGAGTCTGGTAACCATCTCTTCTGATCTGTACCTTCTGCGGTCTAATTTTCTGTGAGTCTATTTTATAACCTAAATAATTAATAGAATCTCCTTTTTGTATTTTTTTCTGGGGCAATTTGTAATCCCCAGCAAGGCAAAGTTTCCTTTACTGCTTCAAACATCTTTTCCAAAGTACCTTTATTTGAACCCGACAGTAATATGTCATCCATATAATGATATATTTACAATTGTGGAAATTGTTTACAAATTATTTCCAGAGGTTTGTGCACAAAATACTGGCATAAAGTCAGGCTATTTAACATTCCTTGTGGCAACACTTTCCACTGAAATCTTCATACCGGTTGGGAATTATTATAGGTAGATACTGTGAAGCTAACTTTTCTCTGTCTTTTTCTTGTAATGGTATAGTGAAAAAGCACTATTACTATAATTGGCCGATTCTTAGGTACTAGAGAAGTTAGTGGCATCCAAGGTTGTAGAGAGCCCATAGGCTGAATTACCTTGTTGATGGCTCAGTAACCATTCTCCATTTCCCTGACTTCTTTTTGATAACAAAAATAGGTGAATTCAATGCACTAGTTGATTCTTCAATATGTCCAGCATATAGCTCTTCCTGAACTAACTTCTCCAAAGCCTCTAACTTCTCAGAGGTCATAGGCCATTGACCTACCCAGAAAGGTTCATCTGTTAGCTATTTTAAGGGTAGAGCTTTTAGTTGGTCTGTAGGTTTGGCACTAGCATCCTGTTTTTGTACAGCCTGTATGTTTGGAATCTGTTTTCTGTAATGCCTTACAATATTTTTTCTACCACCAAGTGTTTGTCTATGATTCATATCTGATACAGGAGGAATGTTAACCTGTGTATTCCAACCCCAGAGATTTATAGCAATATCTGCAACATATGGCTTCAATCTTCCTCTCTGTCATTCTGGCCCAATAAAGTCAATCCATCTAGTGCATTCCTTGATTCATTGTCTGCCTTTGCCACACCTCCTGCAGAGACCAGAAGGCTGAGGCCTTCTGTTGGAAGCATTCAATATTTCTAGGAATGCTTCATCTACAGTTCCTACTCAGATGTCCTATTTACCACAGTTAAAGCACTTAGCATTTTTATGTCTGTTGAAATTTTTGGAGATTGCCTCCCCTACCCAGGCCTCTATATCATCACAGTTAAGGCATTTGGCATCCTGGTGCTTCTTCAAACCTGTAGAAATTGCTTCATCTACCCAAACTCCTGTATCCTTACCTTTATATTCAAGGTTAGCTGTATATGGGACCCATTCCTCCAATGGTGCTGATCTTATTTTTGATGGTCAAAGTACCTGCTTGCATTGTGGATTTGCATTCTCATATGCCAAATATTCTATGAGGAGTCACCTAGATTCTGGATCTGTTACCTGTACTTCTACTGCTCTAGACAATCTTTCTAAAAATTCAGTGAACCTTTCCCTTGGACCCTCTACTACTTTGGTATAGGATTGCATTGTCTCTCCTGTTTCATAAACCTTATCCAAAGCATTCAAAGCAGCTGTGCAGCATAAAGACAATATGTGTTCATCATATGCAGCCTGAGCCTCTAGGTCAGCATAAGCACCCTCCCTAAGAATCTTGTCTTGGGGCACTTCATAGCCTTTCTTTAATCCCTGAATGTCTAGGGCTTCTGCCTCTTGTCTATATAAAGCTCTCCATTGTATTTGACATGAATTTTCGAACACCGCTGAGGCCAATTGGCTCCAATATCTAGGGGTCACTCTATTTGCAGTGGCCTATGATTTCAGGAGCTCCCTGACACAGGGAGAATGAAGACCATATGAAACAATGGCCTCCTTGATTCCCTTTAGGTCCTTCATCTGTATAGGTTCCCATTGATTAGAAACGAAGCCATTTGGGTGCTTCTTTGTTGCTGGTTTTTTGGTTACAGATACTGGGTACACCATAGGAGAGGGCATAACAACTTCAGGAGGTCTTCGTGGTGTCTGAGAGGTATAGGTAAAACTCTGTCATGACCTGTTGCTTGTATGTCTGATTTTAAAGTATCAGAGTGGATGTCTTCTGAGACCTGCAATCTATTTATCATTGTTTCTCTGAGCTCTTGAAGTTCTCGGCTCAAATAAATTTCCAAGGACATCATGGAATCATTCATTTTTTGCATTCATTATTTATATGTGATTCCAACCATTTAATATATCCATCCTTAGAAAGTATCTGAATAGAATGTAAACTACCTTCCAGAAATAATGTTCTATCAGCTAGTTTGTCATTGCTCTCAGACATGGAACAAATTTTTCCTGTTAGCATTTCAATCTTATGTTCCAATCTTTGTAGTTTGCTAGTGAAATCATCAAACACAGTACAGTTTTTTTTTTGGTTAAGTGTTTCAACATTACATTCTATTTTTTCTATTCTGTCTGTTGAATCAATAGATATGGAACACATTTTTCCTGAAAGTAATTCAGTTTTATGTTCTGTATCTTTAAACCTGTTTTTCAGATCTTCATTATCATTTTGAATATTCTGAATATTTTTTACCAAACCTTCCTTACTATCCTGCAAGGAATTTTCCATTTTCTGAATTCTTTGTACTAGTATTTCAAAACCGTCTTGTGATGACCATATATATAATCTGTATAAGTTTGTCATTTTTCCCTATTTTCGAACCATTTCTTTAGTAAAATTATATGGATTATCAAACTGATAACCACTATTGTAGGTAGAAAGTACCTTCCATGTAGGTCCCCAACCCTTTCCAAAATCCCATCTATATAAAAAACAAGAAAATTCTTAACGTCCTGTATTGTAATGTTATTCGCCATATGTATAGAGCAGTTAAGCTTATTAGCAGTGGATTTTTATTCAGGCGGAATTCAGCAGGCTTCCAGTAAAGGAGTACGTGACCGAGAGAGAAATCTTGGAAGACCACGGGAACCTTACCAGCAGGCGAATGCAGCAGCTTCTAAGTTGCTTGTTCCTGGTTGTGAGCAGTGGCAGGGGAGGCGGGAATCATGCCTTGCTGAGCAAAGTGGTGGGGAACTTAGCGATAGGAGAGCCCACTTGTGCCTGGAGCTGGCGGTGTTTGGGCTGAAGAGGAGCAGTCGCTCTCAGGGTGTCTTGATCCATGTTTCGAAACTCCTGACACCAATCTGTCGCTGTAACGATAAGCAGCACACTTGTTGAGGGTATAGGTAACTGTTTATTGTAGAAATTACTTACAATAGAAAACAGGCAACCAAGGTGACTCAGCACAGCTTTTGCCACAGAACCGGAGCTGAAAAGAGAGCATGCGTCTCTCCTGCACGGTCTCTTATTATCACCTCCATACATGCCTCTAGCAGTGCCCAAAGTGGACATGGCTAGCGTGTAGTTCACTGCTCTTTCATTACCACATCCGTATGTGCCTCTAGTGCATCGCATAGCTAGCAGCGCAGTCCCCAAATCTCTTCCTATACTACTTAATATAATGCAGGGTAGAGGTTTGTCAAATATAGCCTTTATTATGTTGGAAAATGTTTCTTCTATTTTAAGTTTCTTCAGAACTTTCAACACAAAAGAATGTTGGATTTCGTCAAAAAGATACACAGATGATCATGTGATTTCTGTCTTTGAGTCTATTTATGAAATATATAACATCTATTGATTTATATGTACTAAACCATCTCTGTATCCCTATAAGGAAGCCAGCTGGACTATGATAAATGACCTTTTTAATGGTATCTTGAGTTCAGTTTTTAAATATTGTATTAAGAATGTTTGTGTGCGTGTTCATCAAAGAAAGAGGACTGTAATTTTCTTTGGTGGTCACATTTTTATCTTTATCTTTGTGTGTGTGTGTGTGTGTGTGTGTGTGTGTGTGTGTGTGTGTGTGTGTGTGTGAGAGAGAGAGAGAGAGTAGCTTCATAAAAGGTTATTAGTTTCCTTCTTTTTCTGTTTCATAGAATAATTTGAGAAGCATTAGGGCTACTTTTAAATTGAGGATTAAGAAAAATTTGAAGATAGTCTATCTAGGCCTGGGCTGTTTTATTCAGGGGATATTTAATTACTGTTTAAATCTCTATTTTCATGGATATATTTAAATCTTTAATCTTATTTTGGTTTAATTTTGTTAGGTCATATACATGTACAACTTATTTATTTTTAAATATTTTCCCAGGTTAGCATAATGTAAGCTTTAAGGTAGGACCATTAGAACTTTTACATTTTTTAATGGCTTCCTCTTCCTTTTAAATTTTATTAATTTAGTTCCTCTCTGTTTGGTTTGGCTAAGGTTTTGTAATTTTTGTTTATTTTTTTCAAAGAGCTAACTCTTTGCTCCATTCGTTCTTTATATTGTTTCTATTTCATTAATTTATACCTGATTTTCATTTGTTTCTATTTACTGATTTATGATTTACCTTGTTCTTCTTTTTCTAGGGCTCCAAGCTATGTAAGTAAGCCATTTGTTTGAGATTTCTGACTTCTTATTGTAGACAGAACTATAAAACTCCCTTGGAATGCTTTCATTGTGTCCCATATCTTTTGTTACATTGTATTTTCATTTGATTCTAGGATTTTAAAAACTTCCTTCTTGATTTCCTTAATGATTGATTTATTACCTGGTAAGGTGTTGTTTAATCTCCATGAGTTTGCCTATGTTCTAGGGTTTCTCTTGGTTTATAGTCTTTTCCCATCTGAATCATATGGAATACAAGGAATTCTTCCAATTTGCTCTAACTGTTGAGATTGTTTTAATGTACTAATATACTATCAATTTTTGAAAAAGTTCTGTGAGTTTCTGAGAATAATTTATGTCATTCAGCATTTAGATGAAATGTTCTATAGATGTCTGTTAAGTTTATGATGTTATTTAATTCAGATATTTCTCTCTTTTACCTATCAATTGGTGAGAACCGGGTAGTAAAGCTACCTACTGTTTTTGTTCTTAATCAAGGTTAATTATTCAAAGATTAATCAAGGGCTATTCTTTGACTGTGGTATTATATGTTTCATAAAAAATGGGTACACCTGTGTTCAGAACTTTTTAGCTTCATAGTATCCTAAATTTATTAAATAAATTTGTTCTGAGGCATTTTCACACATGTGTAATGCACTGACCATGCTCACCTCCACTTTCCTATTACTCCCCTTCACCCCTCCTCCTCTCCACATGTCTCTCTTGAGTGTTCATAATGACTTGTTTTGTTTGTGACCTACTGAGACTAATTAGGACATCTTTGTGGCCATGAGTTTGAAGCTATATGCTGTAGCCTAGTGGTATCACCAGTGGCCACAAAACTAAAGACAGTGATTCCCCTCTTCCAGAATCAATTTCCAATAGTTCAGAGGTAAAGGGAAAGGTCCCATTTACTGACTGATAAGAGTTTGACTTGTGCAGGGCCAATTTATGTAACTATAGATACTGTGTTCCCCATCATTCATTGCAATGGAGGCTTTTGTCTATAAGAATAGGTATTTAGAAGACAATTCAGTGTTGTGTCATTTTTCCCTTAAATATTATTGATGAATTTTTCCCTTAATCAATATGGAGTTTTCATTTCTTCTTATTATTTTTGAAGTCTATTCTATTAGATATCAAAACAGAGATACCTGATTGTTCCCTCAGACTATTTGTTGAATGTTCGAAGTTATATATATAATTTTTTCTATATACATTGAACATTTATACGTGCATGACATATACTAAAAGAAGCATTGGTGGTATAGAGTTTGTAGCATGGAATGCCTTTTTCCATCATTTAACTCTAAGGTAGTGTCTGTTTTGTATTCAGATGTGTTTCTTAGAGACAAAAACATAGATGGCGCCTGCTTTATTTTCTAGATCTAATTTACCATTCTGAGTCTTTTGATTGGGGAATTGAGTCATAATATTCACAGTTACTCTTGGAAGTAACTTGTTCCTGTCATATTGTTCTTTTTTGTAGTGTTTGTTTTTATATCTCATCTTGATTAATTCTTATTTTAGTGGGGCTCATTCTTTCCTTGTGGTCTCATAATTTTGTTTTTCTCTTGAGGCGTCCTCTGTAAATCTAGCTTAGTGGTCATAAATTCCCTAACTCCTTTCCATGAATAGATCTTTTGCTATCATGAAAAATTTTTATTTTCCTTTAATCACAAATAGTTTTTCTGTGTGTCATAGTCAAGGTTGACAGTTGTTGTCTTTCATAACTTGAAAGGCATCATCCTAAGTCCTCATGACTTTTGAATTTTATGTCAGTTAAACTGCTGAGGGATCTACCTTTATATATGACTGTAAATACACTTTCCTTGTTTCGTATATTTAGTGTTTTAATTGTAATAATATGATGTGAGCTTTTTCTCTGGTTTTGTCTGTTTGGTGTCCTGAATGCCTCCTGTATTAAGATGAGCATCTTTTTTCCTAATTCTGGGAAATTTTCTATTATGATTCTTTATTTTTCTATTACTCTGTAAAAGGCTTCTGAGCCTTGAGGGGATTCTTCCTTGAATGTTATTATATGTAGACTTGATATTTTCAAAGTGTCACATATATCTTGGAATTACTACTCTTACTTTCTTATTATTTAATCTTTCTCTTCAGGTTCAGATCCCCTTCTTGATCCATTTTATTGGTGAGACTTATATAGATCTTAATTTGATAAATCATGCTTTTCATTCATGGCCTTTCACTTTGTTTTTCTTCAGTATTTCGATTCCTTAGTTGTTACATTTCTTGTATTACTTTTCTTATTTCATTCAGTTGTTCATTTGTAAATGTTCTCATTCAGGAGCTTATTTTCTTTTTCCATTTCTTTGAATATACAACTTTACTCCCTCTCACTAGGCACTAGTACTATAGAATTAGTAGTTCTCCCCCACCCTTCTTATGTATGTATGTATGTATGTGTGTGTGTGTGTGTGTGTGTGTGTGTGTGTGTGTTTCATATATGAAGTTATAGCATTGGGATTTATGAATTTGGTGGGTTTGCTTGTTTTTTATCTGGTTTTTCTTTTTAGTCTTTAGTGTCTCTATCTTTTTCTGACCATGTGAGTCTTTAATCTGCACGGCTAAGAGTAAAGCATGTTGGCTGACCCTGATTATTCCTTGGCTTTCTGAGAGTCTAGGCTTCATGGCAGAGTTTCTAGGTTCATGCCACCACTAAGAAGCATGCCAGCTGTTCATACACCATTTAACTGTTTTGTAGTAGGGAATTCGAAAAGAGCCCTGTGTTTCAGAAACAGCTGACCTGAACAAGGGGGAGCTCGTGGCCCCCAGATACCTGGGAAACCAGCATAAGACTGACCCACATCCCCTGAATGTATGTGTCACGAGGCCTGGGCAGTCTACAGGGCCTCTGGTAGTGGATCAGTATTTATCCCTAGTGTAGGATTGAACTTTGGGAGCCCATTTCACATAAAGGGATACTCTCTCAGCCTAGACACATTGGGGAGGATCTAGGCCCTGCTCCAAATGATGTGACAGACTTTGAAGATTCCCCATGGAAGGCTTCAGCCTCTCTGGGGAGCAGAAAGGGGTTGGGATAGGGGGCTGGTGGGGGACAGGGGAGAAGAGGAGGGAGAGGGAACAGGGATTGATATGTAAAATAATATTGTTTCTAATTTAAATAAAAAAGAGAGGAAAAAGAAAAAGATTTTTTTAAAAAGCCCTGTGATTTTGCTGCTAATGTTAAGTCAGGAAGTCTTTCTTTAAGGAGCTGTGCCTCCGCTTGCCTCTAGCAAACAGAGCCCACCTGAGAAAATGCTGCTACCAAGAAGCCATGCTTGTCTCTGTTCTGTTGTGTTTAGAATGCCCTTTTAAGCTTTTGTCAGGTTTTACGTGTAAATGGAGTTCTTAATTGGTCTAGATAGTAAAAAGCCTGAGTCAGATATAGAGGAAAATGCTAAGAGACCAGAGAGAAGGAGCCATGGCACACCTTAGTGTCTCAGCAGACAAGAGAGTGATTACTTGTTTCTTCCTGCTTATACCCTGTTTCTGCCCAGTCACCTCACTTCCTGTCTGTCTGTAGAGACCTCCAGACCTCTATGGTTAGTTGGTGGCAAGCTCCATTCTCTGACCCTCACACAGGCTTTATTTGTACAACAAGCAAAGTATCACCACAGAAGGGGTTGACTTAGAATTTCTTCAGCTATATTGTTTCAGTTAAAATATTTATAATGCTCACACGGGGCGTGACTG